GAGGAGGGAGGAGGGAGGACTCGCTGGGAAGCGTTCGCACCGATGCCGTGCCCGCGGCGCGGCCCGCCCTCGCCAGCGAATCCGGCATCGCCGTGCGAGTCGAGTCCAGCACAGCAGCACCGGGCGCGAGGAGGGTCGTCACTTCTTGGGCGCAGCCCGCGCCAGATCGGGCGGCCGCGGGATCTGCCCACCTCTCTCCAAGGGGGGCAGACCTTCAGCGGTCTGGGGTCCCGCATGGCGATCCAGATCCACGCCACCGAAGAGCCACCGTGCGGCCTCTTCCTTCTGGGTCAGGGGGGCGAACGACCTCGGGCAAACCCAGGGTGGCGGGGCCTCCAACCCCAGGGCTCCTCGGCCTCAGGTCGCCCTCCACGGGCCGCTGGGAGGGTGCACCAGGCTCAGCCGAGGATCTGTTGCCCTGGACTCGGCGCGACCTCGGCTAACGGGGCAGGTCCCACAGTCCCAGGGTCATCCGCCTTCTTATCCGTAAGGGCTTCGCCCCCTGCCGCCGGCCCCCTCTCTCGGAGAATGGGCCATGGAAGAGCTAAGTCATGAGGCTTTGGCGCTGTCGTGCAGCAGTATCGGAACTTCATGCGAGGCCGATTCGCAATCGGCAAAACCAACTGATCACAAGAGGGGTTACCACACAGGGCGATTGGTAAGACGTGTATGGTTTACGAGCTTGGTTACCACACCTTGGGATTAAAGGGCCGAGGGAGTACTCGCAGTTTGGGTTACCACGCCTTGCGATGGATGTGCGTGAGGGGTGGCACCGAATTTCAGAAATGTGGCAAATCCCATGTGTTTTTGGACCCTGACCCCGCGGATCTGCGTGAGGGGTGGCACCGAATTTCAGAAATGTGGCAAATCCCATGTGTTTTTGGACCCTGACCCCGCGGATCTGCGTGAGGGGTGGCACCGAATTTCAGAAATGTGGCAAATCCCATGTGTTTTTGGACCCTGACCCCGCGGATCTGCGTGAGGGGTGTCGATTTCGAGCCCCCCCAGCAATTCAGACAACGCGCCCAGGAGGTGCTAAAAATCCCGTTTGGGCCTCCCCCCCCCTCGCGCGGTCAATCAACTAGTTACAGTAACCAGCAAGAAGTCAACTAGTTACAGTAACCAGCAAGAAGCAGAACTGTAACACTGGAAACTACAAGCTACAACTGGTACTGGAAACTGCGAACCCGTGCCTCGCAGCCTGGTGGCCCCACAAGGGGGCCGGCGGATCTCTAGCCACCTCTCCAGCACAAACTCTGGACTGCATCCCCGCGAGGACCGACTTAGGCGGGCCCTCTCGCCTAGGATGCACATTTTGCTTAGTACGCGTGCAGTTTCTCCGCCCCCTTACGAGGTTTCCCGAGACAGAGCTCTTCCAAGTGGTGGAAATCTTCTGTCGCTCACTTGCCACACACGTGGCAAAACAGTATGCAACATCTGGGCCACTCACCGAGCGTGTGTGACGAATGCAGAGCCCAGGCCTCTCCACCCTCCCCCCCCGCAGCCCTTGGGGCACTATTCAGCACGGGCGGGGCTGGGGTAGTTGGGGCTGGCGAGGGGTTGCACGGAGTGCCGCAAAACTCCAGCAGGCCAGCGGCGTGAGCTCGGTGGTTGCAGACCGTGCAGTGCTACTTTTAGCTCCCGCCTGGGCCATCGCGTGGCCCGGCTCGCGCAGAGCTGTCTTCACGCAGCCACCACTGGGCACCGGAGGCGCGGTCTCTTCGCGCTCCGCACCGGACGAGCCACTATCTGGGGCCACTTCTCCGGCCTTGGGACGCTCGACGTCTTGCCAGAGAGGCAGTCTCATCCCGACTGCCACCATTGGGAGCATCGTACAGAACGACTCCCTCCCAGGCCCGATGCGCAGCCTCCCCCGCCCCCTGGTCGGCCGTAGCACTGCCCAGTGCTGGGCAGAGGCCTCCGTCCGTGGCCCGTCGGCCCGCCCCCACCTCCTGCGCACGCGTGAGCGGGAGCCCGCTCCGGGGGTGACTCCGCGGCCCCCGGCCGACGCGCATATTCCCGCCCCGAGATCCTCAGTTGGCCAGCGGGTGGCCCTGCACCTCCTTCTGGGCCACGCCTCTCCTCCTCCTCCTTCTCCTCCTCCTCCTCCTCCTCCTCCTCCTCCTCCTCCTCCTCCTCCTCCTCCTCCTCTCCTCCTCCTCCTTCCTCCTCCTCCTCCTCCTCCTCCTCCTCCTCCTCCTCCTCCTCCTCCTCCTCCTCCTCCTCCTCCTCCTACTCCTCCTCCTCCCTCCTCTCTCCTCTCTCCTCTCTCCTCCTCCTCTCTCCTCCTCCTCCTCCTCCTCCTCCTCCGCCTCTCCTCCCTCCTCCTCCTCCTCCTCCTCCTCCTCCCTCCCTCCCTCCCTCCCTCCCTCCCCCCTCCCTCCTCCCTCCCTCCCTCCCCCTCCCTCCCTCCTCCTCCCTCCCTCCTCCCTCCTCCTCCTCCTCCTCCTCCTCCTCCTCCTCCTCCTCCTCCTCCTCCTCCTCTTCCTCCTCCTCCTCCTCCTCCTCCTCCTCCTCCTCCCTATCCTCATCCTCATCCCTGTCACAAAGTGCACCGAGCCCGTGGCCTGCTCAAGTGGCATACCGTCAACCCACACAGGAAGGATGGGCATTCTTCCCAAGAATGCCCTTGCATCTTTGCCCCTTTCGGCCCATCCTTAGCGACTTTCGCTGACCAGCCTCGTTCGCAAAACGTTAACATGGGCCTCCAAGGCCCTTGCATCCTTCACGCGCGTCTTTTTGATGCGGGTTGACTGTAGCCAGGGCCAGGGTCTCCGATCGGAGTACCGACTGACGGAGGCCAGGAATCGGCGCGGCTATCATCGCTCCTAGGCGCCAGCTATCTTCAATCCAGTCCAGGGCAGCGACAGCAGCTCCACAGCTACGGCGACGCTGATCGTCCGAGTACTTCCTTCCCGACCCGTCCCAAAACAACGTCAACACCCCGTCCCTCTTGTAGTCACTCAGCTCATCTACCCCAAAGTGCAAGGTTTTCTGGGCCAGTCGATCCTCGTCTAGCATTGGGTTGGTGAGGTGAGTCGGCACAAGCCCGCGCAGCCTTACAGAAGGCTCACTTTCAGCACCGGCCAGAGCTCTCGTCACCAGGAGCTCCGACTCGGCGAACTCGCTGCCGTCGCTGAGATTCGCCGTGCACTGCCAGATCCTGTCGGTCAGCTCTTCTGGCTCCAATGCGCATCGTGGGCAGATGGCGCTGAAAGCGTAGCCGCATCTCCTCTTCCTGGCTCGACTCCACTGCCACAGGTAGGACAGGGATGAGGGGGAGGAGGAGGAGGAGGAGGAGGAGGAGGAGGAGGAGGAGGAGGAGAAGGAGGAGGAGGACGACGAGGAGGAGGACGAGGAGGAGGAGAAGGAGGAGAAGGGGGAGAAGGAGGAGGTGGAGGAGGAGGGAGGAGGGAGGAGGGAGGACACTGCCCTCCACTGATCACCGCCATCGTGCGGCTCCACTCGGCCCACACCCCTCTGCGAGCGCAGCGGTCGAGCTCGCGCCTGTTCGTGCCACATGTCCGCACCGCTCTCCAGGTTGTTGCCGCCCTCGTGAGTCGCCGCCTGCTTCCACAGCTGGCGCTTGATGTCCTCACGGAGGTCGTGCGAACAGAACTATGCACATACACCGATTCTGGCCAGGCCCCTCCTGGGCCCAGGATCGGTGCATATGCTTTCCTGGCAAAGGCAGGAGGGCGTATGCACCGATCCTGGGCTCAGGATGGGCCTGGCCAGAATCGGTGTATGTGCATAGTTCTTTTTCCTCTGACAGAGGTCGTGCAAGATGGGCTGTCGGTCGATGAAGCTGCTGTAGGCTTTCCAGCACGCCTCCACCAGGCGCCACTCCGTGGCTGTGCCGTCCATCTCAGGTCTGCACCACGTGCTGGCAGTGCACGCATCCCAGCCCACGTCCATGAGTGTGGCCAGCAGCGCGCCGACGGGGCCGCGGACGCGTCGCCAGCGCCGACCTGGACCGGCGCTCGGGAGCGCGCCGCGGATGGCAGGCCAGACTTTCTTGATTCTCGCATGGACCTCCCGTGCCGTCTCCCAGAGCTCCATCGGCCCAAACAAAAACGACACCACCCCACCTACGGCCCTCCATGTCGCGCTACGGCCCGTCGGGGGCCGTAGCGTATACCATGCAAAAAAAACCCAAGCCAGACGTCCTGGTATACGTTACGGCCCGTGGGGCCGTAGGTGGGGTGGTGCCGTTTGCTTTCTGGTCCATTCCAGCCACAGGTCCACCAGCTGGAGGAGGCGCAACTGATTGGCCGGGTGCCCCTCCAGCCCTGCGGCCAGGACCGCGGCGAGGCAGCGGCCGCCAGCGCGTCCGCCCACAGCTGCGCCCGCCTGCTGCCTCAGCCTCTCGATGCTCGGCTCAAGTCGGGCCTGCCCTTCTACAGGAGGCATCTTCAAGAATAGTCCAACAGACAGTCCAGGGACCACTTTCTATGTTTTACGAAATAACCACTGCTTGCATGTTTGAATATGTTCCGTCCAAAATCCGCCTGACCTCTTGGGAGAAAGACGTGCTCAGCATGTCTGGCGCGGTCGCGGGGGGCTCGCGTTGGCAGAGCTTCTGGGAGTTTCCCGCGCTGTTGCTCTCCTTGATCACGTGGAGGCACCACGCTGTCAACGAGGTACTCTTCTTGCTGGTGCTGACCTGCGCCCTCGGCCTCCTGCGGCAGCGCCTGCCTGCCTGCGGCCGCGTCGTCGCCCAGGCCGGTGGCGTCCGGTGCCAGCTGCAGCGGCGAGGAGCGAGGCTCGCGCGCCCGCGGCCGCGGCAGCGCCCGACGCGCAGACTTGCGGACTCCGCGGGGCTCGCCGCCCCTCTCGGGAGTGCGAGAG